TAAAGATAACTGTGGTGTAAGACTACAGGGTGAAAAGTTACTGCATTTAATTGTGACAATTATTTGTTTTTGGCCAACACGTACTGACACCAACGTTAGAAACAATATGGATGTCCCCACTACAATCTTATTAGCATTGTATTTCAGTTTGCTCACATAACCTGTCGACTATTCACAGACATATCTTAATCATGGCAGGCAACTAAATGTCCTGTGTATTTTTGGCCTGTAGGTTAGAACTCAGCTTCCCATGATTCCTGCATTCTTGAATAGGACTGCTTGACTCTGAAAAGGCCATGTGCTTCAGGGAGAGAATAGCCTTGGACAGGCTAGCTAGGAGGGAGTGGCTAGGAGTGCTCATGCTAAATTCTAAAAACTTTTAACAAACATTTGTTGAGTTTTTCTTTAAAAACAATTCAGTTGATTGTCATTGTGCTATTATCTGAATTCATGTACACCAAAGGCAGCAGAGCAATCTAAATGCAGAGCAAACATGTAATTTCACTACCTAGTCCCTCACTGCAGAGGAAAACCATAAGTATGTACAGTAGGTCCAGGATGAACCAGAATCGGGTCTGTAAACTCTGATGGGCCATTTGGATAGTAATTTTACAGTTCACCTTGGTTTTCTCTTTCAAATAAGGTTGACTAATCTAACGGTCTGTTTACAACCTGAATAGTAATCTGAGTGTTTGTGTTTCTTCCCCTACCAGACCTATTTTTAATTATGCTGTTATGAGATCTTAGCAATATGTTTTTTTTAATAAGAAAGTTACGACAGATAAAACCAATGGCCAGAAACTACAAAATAAATCCCAAGTTGCAATAATGAAACTTTTAAAAAATTGTTGGACATAGCTATCTTCTGCATAATTTCAGCTTTATGCAATTGGATGTAGACAATGTTTAGCCTGATACAAAGTATATGTGGAAACCCTACATAAAACCAATATACATAAATACATTTTGAGACAACTACCTGGGTATAATAGTAGAACCTTACCATACCAGTTTAGAAGATAATCTGAACCCACCTCTACTTGGGTCCTTAGTAGGGTCTTGTATACTGAAAATGAAGAGGACCCATCAAAACCATGTAAACAATAGCTGCCTGAAAAATGGCAAACCTTTGGTGATCTTAGAAAAATGCTCAACACTAATATAAAATAAAAGTATTTGTAATAAATCAGCTACTGCAGAAACACAGATGCAGTCCTTAAACATAGGTTAAAACCTGAATTAATTCAATTCAGTTCAATTCAATTTTATTTGTATAGCAAGAAATCACAACAAAAGTAATTTCAGGGCCCTTTACAGAGTAAGGGCTAGACCTTACTATTCATATATAATTAAACATGGCCTTTCTTGGTAACACAGTTGAAATGTTTGAAAAGTGCCAGTGTTATTGAAATCATTACTATATTATGGCATTCCATACTTTGCATTTGTTGTTACAAATTGCAGTTTGGGTTTGGGTTAAGGTTTAGGGCTGAACCCCATGTGTTGGGATTAAGATGGGTGAGTTAGGGTTGGTAGGGTGAGATGTTAGTCAGTAAGCATTAGTTCTGTGTTTTATTCTATTTAAGGAAAAGTGGTAGGTTAGTCCCCTTCCATGTCTAAGACATCAGTCATTAAACAATGGCTGATCCATCAACACTCACAGCTGTGTTATTACACTGTTGTATCCTGTTTCTCCATGGTGCTCTGCTAGACGAAGGAGAATGAGCCTCTAATCTTCATGATTCACACTATGATCGAGAACTCGGCACCGAGGCCGCAACTCTACCAGCAAGTAAGGTCTTTGGCAGTCTCTGGTTGGAGTCATTGGAAGTCCATTTGTCTTTTGACATGCTATATATGTTACTGTTGTTGAGTCAAAAGCTTTTGGCAATCATGGAATTTTTTGCTTGTTTTCAAACATTTTCATAAAGCTAAAAATGAGGGGGGGTTTGCTCAACAACATGTACATTTCACCATACTTAGATTGAAGAGTTCTATCTCATAGAGAAATATCTAATGAAGATAAAGCATACATACCATAAAACAATTCTAACTTGGGGTTTGTTTTCCCAATATGGAAACATCTATTGTTTCTAAAGAACTCTTCATTTTTAAGTTGACTGACCTAGAACAGACTCAAACCAGACCTTTGCCCCTGGTAGCTCGGTGGTTGTGTATCCACATCTTCCCCTTCACCATCAACCTCTTGTTCCACCACTTTGGATGGAGTCGGTTCGTCCACCAGTCAGTTGTTACACTGCGACACTTCCCAGATGTCACCGTAGCATTATTTAAAGTGTTTATGAAGTTATTTTTAGTTCCAGCATATCTCATTTCATTGCTTTCTGTTTAGTGCTGTTGTAACCGACCTGAAGTGAGCATGGCTTATGGTGTAATTCTATGTGGTCATAGAATTCTCCTCCCACTGTCTTCATCAGCACTACTCGTTGTTGGGTAACACTTTGAAAATGCTTCCACAGTTTGTGCTAAAAGTTTTGCTTTTTTGTTTGTTTTTTTACATGTTCTGCATAAGTATTTATATGTTTCTGCTGTAGGAATTAGGAAATAATTAAGGGAATAGGTCAAAGTCTTTTGAGAGTGAGGTGAAAAGACTGATACTAATCACATGTCAGTTAAGGTCAACACTGGAGTCAGTCTTGTAGCCGGTTTGTAATTTGGTCATAAACTACTGAGTCTCTTGCCCTACCACCGTTCTTAACGACAGAAGTTCCCAAATTCCGTCATGTCTCTGGTTACATATTTTTGTTGGGGCCTTCATGGTAAATGTCTGTTTTTCGTCAGCATCAGATGTTTGTATTCTTCCAGTTTTGCATGAGTCATATGATGGAACGTCATCAACATGCCCATTAGGCCTACTCTGGACTGCAGTGCTGTCTTCTCAAATGGACTCACTCCGGTTCACTTGGACATTACGCGGACTTTGTGCTAGGGAGCCAGCAGAGTAAAATCCACTTAGTGTCTAGGCTAACTGACTCAGACATGTGTGTTCTCGCATACAGCTCCTCCAGGTAATGTCTAGATAATATCAGGGTTCCAGTGCATGTCTGAAAAGAGCTGAAGGGAGCCAATCAGGATCATCTAGCATCCAGATCCAGCTGTGATGCACTGATAAAATGAACTTACCATATAGAGAACTATTTAAAGTACAGTCTTTTAAAATGTGTTCAGTGTAGTACAGATAAATCTAACAATCCTTTTCAATCTCCTATGTCATTTCTTCATATAAAAAGAAAATTTGAATCTATTCTTGACTTCCTAGACATTCCAGAAAACCTCCCAGTAGGTCAGTGCAGTAGTCTTCAAACTGTGCTTTTGAGGTATGAAGTTCCACTTTGATGCAGCCTCTTGATTCCCTCTGTGTGGGTTTGTACCATCATCTCGCAGGTGTATTTCCTTGGTCAGAGCATAATAATGTGGACTGTAAAATTCAGTCAGGGGAATTGTCAGAGGATTGTATCTAGACCAGTAAAAATCTGCTCCTGTCTGCCTTCATTTATCACCCCCCATCTGAGCTAACAGCTGTTCTTTCTTTTTTTTTTTTAAGGAAGAAATACGTAGCCCCTGAATTTGAATTTTTTTATACACTGTTTAGCTGTGAAAACCAATGCTGATTTTATAGTTTATATTATTCTATTTATATTATATTTATACTGGAGAGATCAAGGCATTTTTTTAGAGCAGGTCGTCTCTACATCTCCCAACCAGAAGATTAGCAGTTTGTTTCCCAGCTTGTCCAGTCCTCATGTTGAAGTGTCCTTAAATCCCAAATTGGTCCCAGTCATTTCACCAGTGTATGACTCTGTGTGCTTGGGAGTGCGAATGGGTGAATGGGCAAATAGTGTAAAAGAGCTCTGAGTGTGCTGCAATGCATAGAAAAGCGCTATACAAGTATAAGACCATTTACCATTTATCTTTTTTTTTTTCATGAAAATACACTGACTTATCCTGCAAGAGGTCCAATTAACGGTCTACACACTTGATCAAGTTTCCACAACAGAAACACAGTTGTGTTTTACAGCATCCATTACTAAAAGTTCTCAAAGGTACTACGGTGTACATAAGTTCACTTATCATAAAACAGAAAGAAACACTATGAGTCTTGTCTTTGCCTCTGTGCAAATCGAGGCTACCTGTACTTAAGACGAATTTGATAAAAACAGAAAAACAATCCACAGTACACTTTTTATCTACATGCATTTATACATTGCCAGCAAATCACACATTTTAAATTTAAGACAAATTAACTTGTTCTGTTTTTTGCCCTGTCAGCACTTACATATGAGAAATATGGCCTTGATTTCTTAATTATTAACTCAGCCACAAAATTGTATTTAGTCTCACTGGTCTGAGACTGAGATGATTCATTATTTACATCTGTAACCACAAACCAATAACATAAAAAATTAAAACATATAAATCATAAATTCATTACAGTATGTAATTTTATCCACTAAAAGATCACTCTCGTCTTTTGCTTTGCTTTTGCTTTGATTGATGTTTAGTGATTCTAGTGCCTCAGAAGCACAAAAACAGACAATAAACCATAAATCAAAATAAATATTTGATTATATTTATAAAGTTATATAGATGGATGAGTGGTTTTTGAACCCTGAGTAGCATTTGCAGGTCTTCCTGTCAGCCTTCATAGACTTCAACAAGCACAGGGAAACTTGCGCCCTTCAGCAGGTGAATTTAAAAAACTTCTGAAGACTTCTAGCTTCACATTCTAGACATCGCTCTATACAGTAAAGGCCAAACATCCAAGAGAGGGACCACTGACAAAAACACATTTTTGAATAGATGGAGACTTTCAACATACTGAATGTTGAAGGCAGTTTAGATTTTTATAATTCTATGATATCATAATTATATTTTTGGTCAGACAACATTGTTTACAGAGATTTTAGTCAGTAAAAAGATCTGTTTTTTAAATGTGGGGTGCACATTTGCCTTGGTGACTTCCTACTGTCACCAGGGGAAATTACACTCTGGTTTAATAGTTTGGGATGATGTTTTGTCTTTATTAGTGTGCATCTGTCCTCCCAGGCTACACCTCCGTCTTTCTCGGCATTAGAATATTCAGCCACAATATCCGTGGTTACACCTGGGTAAACAGCTTCAAGGGAAATTAAACAAGATTAGTGAATATGCACAGAACGCTCATCCCTTCATCCTCTCATTCCCTGCCTCTGGAATGTACAGCAGAAGAGTTTTTTTTCCACAATCTGCAGCATTTTGGGGAAAATAATTTATATTACACCTAATTTATATCACAAACATAATTGAATTATGGTATTTTCAGAATAAATTCTTTATTTTCAGAATAGTCATCCACTTAGAAAGACAACATTCTCTATGCACTGGAAGAACATTAAGTAAAACATGTCAGGACATTCTTTTCCCCCAAATGGCATTAAGCAGCATTTTGGGTAGAGAGCTCGTCATGGCTGGAGCTCTGTGTTCGCCATCCTAACAGATGTGTTGTCATCACCCCCTGCTGTCTGCCTTTGACTGTGCCTCCTCTTTTCAGACCAGCCCAGATAACTACAAAGATGGCTTCTTCATCCAGCGCACAGAGGAAGCTGACATAGATGTAAGGCAAGCACTGACCTTTAGTATTATACTTCATTATGTTTCAAACAATGCTTATATTGTGTGTGTTTGTGTGTGTTAGACCAAGCTGAGCAGACTGTGTGAGCAGGACAAGGTGGTGAGGATGCAGGAGGAGAAACTACAGCAGCTACACCGAGAGAAGGTACAGCTCTGTCAGTGTGTCTCTTCACATTTTGGTCTTGTGCAGGATCATGTGTGCAATAACAAGAGTGTGTGTGTGTGTGTGTGAGACAGCACACTCTGGAGACGGCCCTGCTGTCAGCCAGTCAGGAGCTGAGTGAACAGAGCGGCTCCAATGCTGCAGCCACACAGAGCCTGGTCCAGCAGAGAGACGTGCTGCAGAATGGCCTGCTCAGCACATGCAGAGAGCTGTCCAGAGTCAACACTGTGAGCACAGCCCAACACACACTAACACGCCCACATCACCGCAGGACGGCTAGAGAAGTTGGTTGAATTAATAATTAATACATTCAAATTAGGTGAAACAATTTTTTATGTTTTTATATGAGCCAAAAATTAAATGATTTCTTTTGAGTAGCAGAAATGTAGGCAAAGACAAACACAAGTCAAAGACAGACGTACATTTCTGTGACCCTGTTGTTGGCTGCTGTCCCGATGTCAGGAGTTGGAGCGCTCCTGGAGAGAGTATGACAGATTGGAAGCAGATGTCACTATGGCTAAGTCCAACCTGCTGGAGCAGCTTGAGGCCCTGGGAAGCCCACAGGTAACATCCAAATCCACACACACACACACACTCATCCTTGTTTTTGTCACTTTACATTCCTTTACACTTTACATCCACATCCACACACACACACACACACTCATCCTTGTTTTTGTCACTTTACATTCCTTTCCTGGAGACTTACCCTAACCTTAACCAAAGCCGACACTTGCTCTAACTTTACACGGTGTTATAGTCTCTGGTCCTCACTGCGAAACTAGCATGCTCCCGTTTTCCATCCCCACCAATATAGAAAGACAAGGCCACACACTGATTTACATTCATTTCCAAGTGACTTACCTTAAACATAGCTATAATCACTACTTGCTTAACTCTAGCCTTGACCTAACCCCAACCTTACCCTAACCTTAAACAAAGTCTTCACTTTATGGGAACATGCATTCTGTCCATAAAACAGACTTGTGACCGTGCCAGTGTGGCTGTCTACACTGATCTATGTCCCTGCAACATGAATAATGCAAGTACAGAGGTGATCAAACTTTTAACAGCGTGTGTATCTGTGTGTATCCTCAGACAGAGCCTCCAAGCCAGCGACACATCCAGATCCAGAAGGAGCTATGGAGGATCCAGGACGTGATGGAAGCTTTGTCCAAAAATAAACCACAGCGTAGCACAGACAGCAGTGAGTCTCAAATAAACTGTAAATAGGTCACTTTCTCAGGTTCATTTGATATTTGTGTGTTGTTACATACACAGCCTGGGGATCATGCATCTTTCCTCAAGGACACTGTGTCTCCTGATGAACAAAACTGGCTCTGACAAGAGTCACACATGTAACCTTACTTATTTAATATTAAGTCTTTCCACCTTTAACAATACTTTCCCTTACTTCCCAAAATGATGTATGATCCCATCTATACAACCAAATTTTGTCTTAATTATTTCCACAGAAGTATTTTCATTGTGCTAATGAAATAAGGAAACTGAAATGAATTTCTGTGACATGCATCTCAGAATCAGAATTAGCTTTATTGGTCAGGTGCGTTGGACACGAGGAATTTGACTCTGGTCCTTTGATTTTGGACAAAAAAACATATTTGGGATGGAAACATTGCCTGAACACTTGACTACAAATGCCTTTTTCGATTATATTTTATTATGAACAATGCTAAAGTCCGTTTCCTCTTTTCTCCATATTTCCTGTGTTGAGCAGGTTTTCCTGGCTCCAAACCACTCTCCAGTCTCCAGAAGAATGAGGTAGGGCAGCATCCCCCACATTACACCACACTCACTCTTAGCTCTTTAGAATGTGGTTTAGCCTTTGGCTTCAGTCATGTGTCTCAAGACCTTTGTGAAGAGAGAATGATTCTGTGAATTTGCTAAAGTAACCAACAGGGGTGTAATGTAGAGTACAGACATCCCATCATTATACAGGTGACTGTATGCAAACCAGCAATCTGCGCAAAAGAGTTGGCATGAAGCTCATTGCCACAGGATTTAGCATGAATGCATGGATAGGTTTTCTGCATATGTCCGAAACACACCTTTTTACACAGCTTGAGGCCATTTTAGTGCACTAAAAGTTTTTAGAATGATATCCTTCTCTCCATGCAGCCCGTGATTTCAGTTTAATCCAGTGCACTATGAAACTTAACTGGCTGAGTCTTAAAATTTGCTCAAAGTAGCTAATGTGCCACAGTGACTTTTTCTGGTAAAGCAACGGTGATCAGGCAGTGATTAGAACAGTTCTTGTTACAGTGCTCATGATTTCTTCAGCATTATTCACATAAGGTCCAGTAAGACTCCGTAATTTCCTTGGAATGAGACCTGCTATGTCAAATGTCAACAGGCAGTGACGCTGCCGCCACTCACTCCTCTCAAGGAGGGCGACAGCGTCCCCCACCCGCCCCCCCCCCCCCCAC